TATGTCAATCTGGTTTCCAGTGTCGCCTGGTAATCATAATGTTTAATGGATTCCCACTGTTATTTAATCCAAAATTTTTGTCCAAAGTCCGTTAACGAATTCAGATGGGTGTCAACGGTATCGGATTGTTTTGAAGCGTGAAGTCAGAGTTGGGATTTAAAAGGCCATGAATCTATAGATTAAGATCGAAGCTAGCCTTTTATCATAGATGCCAAGAGGGATCGAACGAAAAAAATATATTTTTTCTAAATGAATGCTTTTGTAACCACGAGATCCCGGGGAAAGTCGTTAATGTACTACAGGTTCCATTGGGGAGCGGTTAACGCAAGCTTAAGGTGCGTAGGAAGCAAGGGCTTGGTTGAGCTGTTCAATAATCAATTCATTCAAGATCCGTCCTAATTATGCCTCGTAACACCGGTTTTCAGAAATTACGTTTTACTTCCTAGCTAATTATCGCCTTTAAGTTATACAGATTTGCTTTTAATTTATTTAATTTAAAGTAAAACGGGAACTACTTGTATTTCAGTCGAACTAACCATAAGGCTAAACCATTTTAGTTATGCTGCGGTTTTCAAGTGTCTCACCACTCCAGCCTGTTTTACCGCACTCAGTGGAAAGGTTTCTGAGATATCGCCTCATTTCGATTCTTATATATTTATTTATTTATCTATATATATGTACTGATTCATTTTGTTCAATTTTAGGTTTGTACTTTTTTAAAAATCTATTTCACTCTTTTCTCTCATGCTTTCATTCAGCTATTTTTCCATCTATGTATCCAAGGTTAAATTTAAAAGATTTCTCCGTGTTCGTCTCGAGGATTTAGCTAAAGCTCCTTTCTGAATCGTTACTTGGCTGAGATCTCCTCTCAGTGAACATCCCTCATGAAGAAGCGGAAAATTTTGTGCTGTGAGCTAACGAGGACAGACAGGTTACCGGTTCGGTTAGATCAAATAACCGTCATTTAACAAGTAAATTATTTATTGAAATTTCCAGACGTTGAAAGATATGTATCACTTTCAGAATGAATCTAAATTTTGTTCCTTGATGATGCAGTTGTGTAACAGAATCGTAAACAAAGATTGGAAATTTCGCTGTGCCATTTTCATCAAGAAAGCTTATAGATAATTCAGAAAGCTATCAATCTTTAACCATTGTATTTTTGATCGCGGTCAGTTTGTTTGTTTACCTCTTACTGTTCTACGATTTATAGTGGACTTCTTGTCGTGTACCATAAGGGCTTGTGCTCTATAAAAAAAGCAAGGGGGCTATTCATATTGAAATTTTTCGGTGCCAGCGACGTTCGAGGAATAACGAAACTTTTATTTAATAGTTTTTGGTATTAATTTTTGTAGACCGAACCGTTTGCAAAAAGCGGTGTTTTAACATTTTAGCACCGTGCCCTGATTCAAGGTGAAAAAGAAGGGAAAAATGAAGATTGAATAAAATGTATTCGTAATATCAAAAACAAAAGAAATATAATAAAAAAATTGAACGGAGATGAAATAATCATCTAATCACTGCTTATACATTAGTTTTAATCATATACTGAATAAAATAATACAACGTTGGATATAAGAATATATTTTGTGATTAGGAACTGTTGTATTCCCGCCTTCGTCCCTCGAAATGGTGCTGTATTGATTAGACACCGATTAAAAAACCCTTATCTCCAGTACAACTCATGTGCCTGTTAATGTGAAGAAAGTTTCGATTTTCGTTCCTCTACAAAGCAGTTTTAAGTTTTGAAAATTAAAAGACAATGATAAATTGGCAGGAGTACGAAGGAATTGTTAAATTTTAATTACTTTCGCAGCAATCATCAGACAAAACACATTAAGTTTTAACAGGCAAACAATTAGATCATCACCCGGGATTATATATAATCCAGAAAAGTTGGAGGCTGTAAGAAAACGCAGTAATCTTATGTCTGGAACTGAATTTGCTTCTGATGAAATTTTTTTCTGGTACCAGATGCCCTTCATTCATCAGCTTCAGTTTCTGGTAAGCTATATGTGCAAGTTCATTTGTTTAACGTAAATAATTTCAGCTAGTTTTTTCATTTGATCTTTACCAAAAACAAAAATAATATTTGTTATGGAAACTGGTGTTTATGTCTCCCTAAAAACAACAGTATCAAAAGGAGGGCTTACTAAGTTTTTATCTAGCTTCCTTACAGTTACCTTTGTTCATTGTCAACTCATGACAAATTTACATTGCATTTGTTGTACAAATACTTCATTTCGTTTAAATTCTTAAATTTTTTTGCAATGATTATACTGTTACATTACTAACTCTGATTGTTAACGTTAGAATAGTAGTCACAATACTAACATTGCACACAGAATTAATTTTTCTTCTATTTCAGCGTTACACTATCATACGTTACAATGTGTACCGTTACGTATCAACATATTGCAATACACTACATTACAGTATACCAACAAATTTTAAAATGAAATAACCACTGCATTTTAGAAAATTAATTGTACTAAACAAACCAAAGGAAAAAAACATAAAACAAAAATAAGAAAAACTAAACAATTTGGAAAAAAAAACTCCATTTCTTTCTGGCTGTTTACAAACGGGGATGACGTAACTGTCTCTCTCTCCTTTGCTGATTCTCTTGAGCATTTTTTCGAGGTTTTACCTAAGAATTTCCTAAGTTCCACGGGGTTATATGCTTTGTAGCTTACAGTGTGAAGTGTGTTTCACGTTTAAAACACTGTGAAGCAACACAGTTGTATTATGTTATTGAATTTTTCGCTTGCCAAGGGTTTGTGCGAAAATGTTCAGAGTTAAGTACAGAATGAAATAACGATAAGGGAAAAAATGTTAGGAAAAAAAAAGTTGAAATATCATTTCTCTTCAATTTCTCTGATCTGAAATGAACATTCGCGATGATATTAGTATTGACTATAATAATTATAATGATGATAATATGGAATGAGAACAATAATATTGATAAAGAAATGAAAATGAATGTTGTTAGGGCATTTTGATTTTTTTTTGCGTGCGCACTAATAATTTTTCTTGGCAGTTTCTTCTGACTTTTCACTATTTTTTTTTAAA